AAATATATGTATATTTTAAATCCATCTCTCAACGTATCTATATCTAATGTGACCATGAATTTGAAATATAAACAATGTATATATAATAATATATTATTATTATAAATTATACTTTCCTTTTGTTCTTATAAAAAATTAAAAATTACAAATATATTATCTTCATCACTTTTTATGAGATATACTCATGTCTCTTAATCAACTATATTGAATAAAAGATGCAGCAAACATAATAGTTTATAATGATAAATTAATAATTCAAATGATGTAACATTACATATATATAAATATCCGGCAGATAGTTTGGAATGTCTTTTCCATTTTTCAATCTTCGATTTTAGGCATAAAAAGGATTATTGTGATTACTATATCATAATAATTTTAAAAATGATATAAGTATATCAAAATAATTAATAATTATGCTTGGATTGTACAAAAACTAATACAAAAAATATATTTTAAAAAGAATAATTTATGTAGAATAATATAAACATTTGTAAATGAAAGCTGTTTCGGAAATTTTTCAATATCTTTTCTCACAAATATCAATTTTGCTTTCACTGGACTTGGAGTATATTAAATAGAGTAGACATATAAAAAATTGATATTGTGACTATTATGTATGTCTTTGACTATAAAACTATTAAATTATTATATTTAAATTTCATGACTAAAAAATGCATTAAAATGATGTGCTGAATCTGCCTATATTATCGATGAAACGCTTTTGACGTGTTGTATTACATATATGTATACAGGGTATTAAGTAATGAAAAGTTTTGTCGCATAGGGATAGAATGGATTAAACTGAGAAGAAAAGTCCTCTACCATTTTACAATTTTTGATATATAGTTAACGAGATATTAATTTATAAAAATATCCAAATTCGTTCAGCCCACCGCCAAATACAAGCGCGAGATTGGACATGACCGACCAGCGAGACCCGTCGCGCGCGTTCGCCGTCGCTATGTACGCGTTTATAACACTTATACAACAAACATATTAATGGAGAAATTACGTTTAAAGATTTAGAAATGGATGGAACCATTCAGATTGACGGAAATGTAACGGGTATCAATGTAAGCAACATAGAGAATTTGGACATTGAGGTAATGGACATTGTCTAGAGACAATCATTGCCGTTTGTTATGTCGCGCTGGGCGGTCATGTCCAATCTCGCACCTGCATTTGGCGGTAGGCTGAGCGAATTTGGATATTTTAGATCTAATCGGTCGATCACCAGTACTACAATCAAGTTGTGGCGAACCTTCTTTCTTCGATGAATTAGCTGGCTTACTTGTCTTTTTAGTGTTTTTTGTATAGGTCCGATTTGGACACGGGTTCTTTCGAACTATTAGACCAAATTTTATAAAACCGCAAAAGTAATCACAAAGTCTTGATATTTTTGAATACTACACTCTTTAATTATTTTAAATCAATTACCGTTAAAATTTGTAACATCTTTTAAATAATGATATACAAGGATTTTCTTTTTTAAAAAAATTTTGGCATGATAGCCGAAAATACATATGTATTTGCGTTTATTCTATGAACGTTATGACAGAGTACTGCCAAACTGCTGTCACATGTTCGGTGTCTTATAAGGACTTTACATTATAAATAATATAAAAAAAAACGCTATAGTTTTATCGGTAATACAAGCGGCTTTGGCATCCCCTTAGGAGAAAGATATATATAATATAAATTCTTGGCAGAATTCTATTGGTGAAAGAATATCCATATGATTATAGTCAAAGATATATATAACTTAATGCAACATTATTGTACTTTGGCATTCCACTTTTCAAACTTCTTCATAAAAATGCTAATAGTATCAAGCAGGATTGGGAAATAACACGTTACTTACAACGCTGTTACTGTCACTTTTTTTAGTAACAAATTTGTAACGACGTTATATTTTTCATTAATAACGATAATGTTAACTGATAACATAGTTACATTTTTTGTATAATGATAACGAATATTATCATTTATTGTTACTTTGTACAATACATATATATTAATATGAACGAGTTTTTAAAAAAATATAATATATTTGATTGTATAATCGTAACTATTATATCTTTTGTTTAACCGGTCAATCAACAATTGTATGTTACTCTAAGAAAAAGATCATTAACATTGGAAAAAACAAAGGAAGTTCTAACGATTCTTACTATATATACTTTTGGGGTAACGATAAAAAAGTACTTTTTCCAGTAGGTAGCGAGCAACAGTAACGAATTACTTTTCTAAATGAGTAACGATAACAAGTTGTTGCTACAAAATTATCTTTAAAACAAAACCGCCAATTACACAAATTCCTCAAAAGATAAATGTTATATAAGTACTTTTAAAAAGTAAAACTCAAGTAGTAACTCAAATAAAACTTTAATTTTTCACTAAAAAAAATAATGATATTAAGAAATTGCACCAATTAAAATAAAATTTTTGCACGTTATATTATCTAAAGCAATCCAAGTGATTCAATGAGTAATATTTAACAACAACGAATTAAATTTTCAAGTAACTTTCCCAATCCTGATATCAAGTTAGCATAACATCTGTTTGTTTCGGCCTCGAAAAAAACTTAACTTTTTCAGTCCCATGATTTAACATTGTCTTATATACTCTGAATTATAATTTCTACATATTAATTAATAGATAGAGGTCGCTAATACATACTGTAATATTTGGCAGAAAAATACATCGAATAGGCAAACCTCCTCAAAGTATAATACGAAATAAATATCTGACAATATAAAAATCTCTTTTGGCATATTTTTAAGTACTGGTAACACCTTTACGAGCTACTAAAAGATTTAATACTGGATGTTTTCTTATATAAGAAACCGCTTTCTTATGAGTTACCATTGTAAAATCATACCCATTACATTGTAATATCTTGTCATGCATTCTGAGACCACTTTTTGCCGCCGGTGATCCGTCGTGTACTTCTGTTACATATATTCCCTAGAAAAGAAATTCATTTCTATAAGCTTTTTTATAGTATCTTTATATTGTATGATTTATATAATGTTATATTTTCTACACACACACACATACACACACATCTTACATTATCTGTATAACCCTGTGGACTTTTTGTAAAATCCTGGTCAATACCCCCACCGATTTTAAATCCACATTTCATTACTTCTTCGCCATTTTCATTAATTTCTGTCTCTTTATGTAATGTAATTGGTATCTATAACAAATTAATATATGTCACATATAATGTAATATATATATATGTATTTATATAACATATAAATTTAAATATAAAACATGTATAATAAAAATAAAGATTGATGAGTCAATTTGGTTTTTCATAATATGTATTACAAGTCAGCCCTTATTTATTATCCATTAGTAATCTTATAAACCTAAAAATCAATTTTTAATTTTTTAAAAAGGATCTGTTATTGCAATACTTGTAACAGTTCCTTTTAAAGCACAGTTTTCCAAAGAAAGACCCTTATAATCAAAATTACAATACAAACTAGAACAATTAAAGGGCTAAGAGCCAATTATGTAATAAAGAACGTTTGATTTAAAAACAAAAATAAAAAAACTATAATATTAAATTTACTCCTAATAAGTAAAACCCAAGTTTTATTTATAAATTTTTTTCATTGTTGTAGCACAAGCCCTTTACTATTTCGCACATCTACTAACATTTCGTTAATATTATATTAATATACTGTATTAAATAAAAAAAAAAATTTAAACATTACTGGAAGATAAGAGAGAGACCTGCGCGCTATACTTTCCTAACAGTAAAGGGCGTGTGTCGTGGAAAATAACAATATGACAAAATCTACGGATCCCTACGCTTAGGCACTCCATCGCGGTACCCGGCTGATGTTGAAAGGCCATTTTCGCGCACATAATCAAGCGACTCGGGCTCTGCCTCGCGCTCTTTCCTTTATAATAAAATCTCTCCCTGACTCAAGTTCAACCGACCGATGACTCACGATTAATAACCAATCTATGTTCCTCGACGATATGTACTGCGCAATATACGATTTAAACGAATGAGAAATTTGCCCGCTAATAAACGTTGAAGCAACAAGACTTCTTGTCAATCTCGGAACGTGAACAGATGATCGCTTAAAGCCACTTAAAGCAGATCTACACCGAAGCACCGAACAGAACTCCAAACGTCTAGACTTGACAGCCATGCGCATATGTAGACGACGATACGATATCCAATAGGAGAGCTTGTTTTCTAGATATTGTAAATTTTGTTACAAAATTGTTACGCGCAGCATGTTTTTAATTTTAAGTAACGGGCATCATGTTTTTAATTTTAAGCAATTTTTTGTAATATTTCTATTGTAAATATGTTAACATTTTAATATTATTTTAAATGTAATTTACTTCTGACTCTTACTTCGCCCTTTTAATTCTTGTTGAATAATGCCATTAATTTTATCTTGGCTTACTTTCGCCATCTCTTCTTCATTTAAAAATAAAGTTAACACTTCATTTTTATCCTCTAATAAGACCGGGAAATCATGCAATTGCTGTAATCGCTGTTCCATCACAAATTCCAAATATTCGTCCGTTCACTGTTGTACTATCCGGTACTCGTTGCTCGTTCCGAATTGCAAATCATGCGCATAGGCCGGTATTCATAGTCAGTTCTTATATTCAAGACCGTCTTAAGTTCAGTCGTGAGGAGTTACGAACCAATCACCGCTTTAGCATCTTAAGACATTTTACGACAGTCTTGTAGCGTTTTCTCTTGGCTGCACTAGTGTAGGGTGATTGCACCAGTTCATCTTTTTTCCTTTTCCCTTCTCCTGGAGAGAAAAGGAAGAAAGATGAACTAGTGCAAAAGTTCAGCTGAGTGTTGCACTGGTGCAGCCAAGAGAAAACGCTATTGAAATAAGAACCGATTCAAGGTTGATTTATACTGGCCGTAAACTGTTAACTTATGCCGTAATCTGTAAAAATTGACCAATTATAATCGATTATTCCCCTCTCATTCGACTGTGATTGGTCAATTTTTACAGATTACGGCATAAGTTAACAGTTTACGGCCAGTATAAATCAACCTTCAGAGTGCAAACCCATTCAGCGGAATAGCGTAACGCGGAACGAAAGCAGAACCAATAACGAGCATTCCGTGTTTCTAGAGAAAAACCAATAACGAGCATTCCGTGTTCCTAGAGAATCTCGTGATTGGTTCTACTCTCGTTCCGCGTTAAGGTACTTTTTCGTGCGCAGCACGCTGCAGCAGCAATTTGTTACTATTGGTTAAGAATTTTATGTAAGCTAGATGACGAAAATGAGAGGGGAATAATCGATTATAATTGGTCAATTTTTACAGATTACAGCATAAGTTAACAGATTACGGCCAGTATAATCCAACCTTAACGCTATTCCGCTGCATGGGTTTGCACCCTGAGAGAGGTACTAGTTCAGACAGTGCATGGTATAAACCATGAAGCGGGGAGCACAGACTTTTGCATAGGCCTGTTCTTTTTCTCTGCACTGTGTCCACAGTGCAATAAGTTGAAGTGAAACAGATATACGTTTGTTTCACTTCAACTTATTGCACTGTCTGAACTGGTGTAGACAGTGCAGGCAAAAAGAACAAGCCTAGTTCAGGAACAAAAGACCCTCCTCCACCCTCCTCGGCCAGTGTCTGATTATTTTGCCGTGGGTGTACATAATTTTTATGTAATAATTATATATTCGTTGAATAAAAAGTATTTTATGAAACTGAAAGAAAATACGATGTCTCTTCAATCATCTAACAAATCCATTCCATGTTCAACTTGGCACATATGTTTTTTGGACACGATAAGAAATACACACTTTTAGGTTATAATATTATATATTTTTTAAAATAATAATTTTAATAAGATTAATTTGACAAAATTTTTAGATATAAAACAGCAATTATGTGTTTACTTATAGTATTAATGTAGTATTAGTATAGTAATTTTAACGAAAAAAAAGAATTAATATCTTTTATTAAAAAAAGTTTTTTAATTTTTTCATTATGTACTCATTAGAGAGAGAGAGAAGAACATTAAAATATTATATAATAAAATTTAATTTATTAAGAATATTTTTTTATTGAAACATACAAAAAGTTAAGTAATAAGGTATATAGTCTGAGAGAAAAGAAAAAATGACAGAATATTATATTTATAGGAATATTATATTTAATAAGAATAGATAGTGGTTTGGAAAACTGTCAGATTTCACAAATATTATAAAGATGCTGAAGTTCAATTTCTTAAAGACATCGTGGTGTAAATTGCGCACACAATATATACACAAGAATGCTTTTCTCTCAGAGGCATCTAAAAGTAAAGAGTGTACAATTGCAAAGATTCGTAACATCGGTATACTAGCACATATTGATGCTGGTTAGTATTATTTTGTTTTATTACTCTATAAATATTACTTTATTAATTATAATGAATAAAACATACTTGATTTGTTTTAATTGAAATATTTAGATACAAATAATTATATTTTTCTTCAGGAAAAACAACCACAACTGAAAGAATGTTATACTATTCGGGTCTCATCAGAAATATGGGAGAAGTTCATCATGGCAACACAGTGACCGATTATATGGAGCAGGAACGTCAGCGTGGAATAACAATCACCTCAGCTGCAGTCACGTTCAGTTGGAAAGATTATCGTTTTAATTTAATAGATACTCCTGGTCATATTGACTTTACTATGCAAGTTGAACAGACTTTACAGATATTAGATGGTGCAATCGTAATTCTAGATGGATCTGCTGGTGTGGAAGCTCAGACATTAACAGTTTTCAGACAAGCTGATAGATATAATATACCTCGAATAATCTATGTTAATAAAATGGACAGGGTGAATGCTGATTTTAATATGAGTTTACAATCTATTGAATCTAAATTAAATGTGGAAACGCTACCTATTCAGATCCCTGTAGTGAAGGCAGGAGTCTTAGAAAGTATTGTAGATGTGATAACAATGGAAAAATTAATATTTGATAAGAAAAATCAAGGTATGAATGTAATAAAAACGAAAATAACTGAAAGTGATGATGGAGAACTATGGAATGTTGCCAATGAGCAGCGACGATTATTGACCGATAAGCTATCAGGTTTAGATGACAAACTAGCAGACATTATTATAGAGCAAGAGTCTCTGGATAACATACAGCCACAAATGTTGGTCGATTCCTTACGTAGAGTTACTATAAGTAGAGAAGGGGTGCCTGTAATGTTAGGAAGTTCCTATAAGAATATTGGAGTACAGCCTTTAATGGATAGCGTAATTCTCTACCTACCGTCGCCAACAAATGTAAATCAATGTAATCCATATCGATGCTTTGAGAATAATTTAGCAGCCAGAGTCTTCAAAATTGTTCATGACAAGCAAAGGGGACCAATTACTTTTTTCAGGATCTATTCTGGCAATATAAAAAGGGGTCAAAAATTATACAATGTAACGCATGAGCAAAGCGAGCAATGTACTCGTCTTTACATCGCATGCGCTGATGATTACAAAGAGGTAAGCGAAGTGAGTTATGGCAATATCGCGGCTGTAAGTGGACTAAAGAGTACTATCACAGGCGATCTAGTAACAACAAGCCATTCCATAGCCAATCGCGCTAAACAGACTATGCTGAAGGAGAATCCGAATCGGTTAGACTACGTGAACAACTTCTTTGCATCTGGAGTAAACTTGCTCGATCCAGTTTTCTTCTGTTCTATAGAACCGCCTTCCCTCTCGGCACAATCTACCCTAGAAATTGCTCTTCAGGAATTGCAAAGAGAGGATCCTAGTCTGTACGTGAAGAATGATTCAGAGACAGAACAGATTATTCTCGGAGGGATGGGAGAGCTGCACATAGATATTATTAAGCAAAGAATCAGAACAGAGTATAAGATTGACGTGGATCTGGGTGCCTTGCAAATCGCTTATAAGGAAACGATTCAAGATGCTGTTAAAGATACACTATCTATGGAGCATAAGGTGGGCCATACGACACATAAAATTACTATCACTATGTCTTTAATACCTAAGTATGAAGGAAAAGAAAAATTACTTCTGGACAAGTCTCCAGAAAATGCTTCAAATATCGACAGTATTCATCCACGGACAATGAGTGCGATTAAAAACGGTGTGAACGCTGCATTGCTACACGGTGTGAAATTAAGTTGTCCGGTGATTAATGTTGGCGTTAAGCTCCACTGGCTGGAGGTAGCACGCGGTACCTCAGATACCATTATTTCTGCCGCTGCCTTGCAATGCATTCGAAAGGTCGGTGTATATATGATCTCTAAATAATTTGTATTACAATAGTTATAATAATATTATTTTATGTTCATGATTTTAATCATTGCATATTATATTATATTATAATAAAAAAAAAAAAAAAGTACGTTATTGTATTGCATTTAAGTAAATACGGAAATTTTATATTTTTTTATTTGTGAACAAAATACTGATTTTAATATTTAGGATGTTTAAATGACGTTTATATGTGCAGTTGTTTCAAGATGGGAATAGCATGTTATTAGAACCCATAATGCAACTGGAAATCGTTACACCAGAGGAATATTTATCGAGTATCAATGCTGATCTTACTCGTAGACGAACAGTAATACAACAAATTGATATACGTGGCAATAATAAAGTGAATAAATTATATAATTATTTTATTATTTTTTGACAAAATGCGACTAAATTTGTATCTTATTTCATAGGTGATCAGGACTCTTGCGCCATTATCGGAATTATTAGGATATTCAACCACATTGAGAATTATCACATCAGGCAATGCAACGTTTTCATTGGAATTTAATCATTATCAACTAATGACCCCTATCGACGAAGAACAAGCTATCGAAAAGATTAAAGGATTCTAAAATGAATACTACTTCTATTAATAGTAGAAGCAATGAACAAAGAGATAATATTACTTAAAGTACAATTTCACTTCATTTTATTGACTCAATCTAATCAAAATATATTGCAACATTATCATTGGTGCGTTACAATCTCCATATACAATTCTCAATAGCGACCACTAAATATGATACGGAAAGCTTTTTATAATCAGCCGGAGCAGAAAAATCACTAGCTGGCTATCAGAAAATCATTATAGCTTTCATGCATCATAACTAGTAGTCGCACATAAATATATTAATATTGCTTAAGATCATGCAAAAATGTCATACGTCGTAAAATATATGTATATATATTATATCGTATGGAGGGATTAAATGTTATAATGTCGCGTGAGACTGGAAAAACGACAGACGCGTATAAAAATTTATGCCAACGCGAATAACACGAAAGCGAGATTTTCTTTGTAACGTCATGAAAAAATATTAGAGAAAATTTAAGAATTCCCGCATTCATGTAATTTTTATTTATCCGCCCTATAATATTAAATATACAATTAAATTATGCAAACTGTTTATTAATCTATCGATCTATCTTAAGCGCAATTCAAAGAGCTCTTAAGATTCTTAATATACTTAAAAGTTTGAGCTAAAATCTTACTTTGTCTTATATTTTAAATTTTTATTTTCACAATTTATAGTATAAAATTCCACTTGTCTCATTGAATCGCTTACAAAATGACAAATCTTACATTCATTATTTCTAATTCGTTATTTTAAACGTTAAATATACTTATATCACTTGTATGCAGACATTATTGCTCATATCTGCGACAATTTCCTTTCAAGGCGCAAACAGCTATCGTTTTTCTCTTCAAATATATCTCTTTTTCTCTTATAATTCATATTTACAACAAAAGAAGAATATTTCATTATATAAAGTAACACAATTAAAAATTTCAATTGACAAAAAATTCATCTACGAATAGGAAACTACTGGGAATCAAATATCTATTCGCAGACTATTAAAAACTGAATACACAAATCTTTTCTATGTATATAGAAAACGTACACACGCAGTGTACGTAGAAATTTTGAAAGGAAGATACAATTGAAAAGAAAAAGCCTTAGCTATTCATAAGCAAAATCGCGTGAAAAAACTTTGAAGGGTAATCAAAAATTTCGTTGTAAAGAGCACGCGCATAATACTTCTGCTCTCCCTTGTAGAAATCCTTCGCGTCATGGTACTCCCGTTTTTATTCAGGATCGTTCTCTTCGTTGGACCCGTGCTCCACTATGCTATCGTGGCGTCACAAACTTACAAGCTTTGGGGGATTTGCATCTGGGGAGCTGAGATCTACAGCGGACAAATTGCTTCTCTGTTGCGTCGAGCACGACGGTATCAGGGGCGTCGAGACCGGTGTGAGACCAGTACCGCCTTCCATTAGAGACTCAAAATTAAACGGTATGCCACTGGTTGGAGTGGTAATCGGCATACCGGCTACATCCATCGATGACTTCATAAAGGATGGTGTTTCCACCGTCTTAAAAGCAAGCGTGTCTGGTCTCTCTTTTGGCTCCACGAACATTGTCAGGGAATTCAGTCTGTTATTGTTGTCCAATCCGACTGGTAATGAATTAGGTCTATTCGGTCTCGTTGCCGCAGCTACCGTCGTGTCACCTTTTGCAGATTCAACGGCAAATTGATCCTCGACCGAAATATCGGTCTTTATCACGGGTTTTATATCCAGCGGAGACGAGGAGCGTAGCGAACGGCGACAGACTGCTCTGTGGGCGTCCAAAATAAATTCTAGTTCATCTTTGACCTGCTTCAGCTGCTCGATCTCATCCTGTAAGTTTTGTTTTTTCTTTTCCAAACCCTCGGTCTCCTACAAAAAAAGATCAAAAGACCTTTAGTGAATGTGAAGCTGAAAAGCGACAACTCTAGACGTTCAGTATTATTATATAATTATTTTGTATTGTACAATTATCATCATTGATCCTTTCTTTTAATTCGAAACAAAGTTTTGGCGGCTCAATATGACCTGTAAACTGTAGACGACAATCAATAATATATTGTACGTCAAATATTGTTTAATAATATTGATCATTTAGGAACCGTTTAAAAATGTGAAAGCAAAACGAAAAAGACTTGGAAAAACCTTGTTCATTAAATGGTCACAGGCAAACTCAATATTCTAATAAGTCACGCAATATATGTCCATAAGCTGCGTACTTACTTCGAGTAGGGCATTGGTATGATCCATTCTTCGTTTGCGGCATCTCGCTGCTGCCATCTTGTTCCTTTCGCGCCGAATCTGTCGCCTCTGCTCTTCCTCGGGGGTCATCCCGATCGTTCTGGTGGGCCGTCTGCCACCCATATTGCGTCTAATTGGCTGCTGTTGTTGCTGCGGTTGTGTTTGCTGCTGGGTCTCGATAAGGGTGGTCGTCGGCGCCGAAAGATGTACCGCCGTTGTGTTTTGCGTCTGTGCCGGGGTTGGCTGCGACGGTTCGACCAGCGGCGGAACAAAGCCGGCTTCGCGACTGTGCGACGCTGACTCGCTTGTCAGCTCCAGGAATGTCTGCTCGATGCTACGGAGGGTGGTCGGCGTCAGCGTCGGCGTCGTCCTGGTCGGCACTCCGCTATGTAATCCGTCCAGAGATACCAGCTGCAACACAAAGATAATGGACCGTTGATTGAAAGTGTATTCAAAATCTCTTTTATATACATTTTTTAATTATAAACTTCAATTATATTATTCATAATTATAACTGTATTGAAAAATTTCTGATTGAAAATAAACGAACCAGAAAATTCTTATTACATCAGTAAGAGTTCTAGTTATCTTCTCAACTATACATATATATAGAATTATAATAGATTTAACAAGAAAATACTGATTTGGTTCATTTTCAACCAGAATTTCAATTAATGTAGTATTTTTCCTGTATAAGAAAACAGAAGAAATTGATTCTCTATATACCGAAGTATCAGTGTGATAAAATTAATACAATTTCACGATCAGATGATGAACTAAATTGCAATGTTCACAAAACGTTGGCACTCTAATAACGCATCTGAAAATGGAGGAGATAAAAGCATAGCTTCATAAGTAATATAAAAAGTACAAACCCGTGGAAGCATTAATAAAAATCGTATAAACGGTTTAATACGACAGAATTTAACCTCTTTCTGTCTATGTTCTGTTTTCTAATTTCATTCGAAAACACAGAAAGTAACTACTTGATTTTACGGTATAAAATTTACTGCGCCGTGTTCTTTCATGAGAAGAAAGAAACTGCTACTAACGTATATAGGTGCGGTATCGCGTTATCTTCGACTTTCCAGGTATCCAATGATATCAGTCAGTTAATCTCACCAAGATGGCTTGATAAAAATATCCATGATCCAATAACGTATATGCCGATAACGTATCATCGCGCTCCGGAGTTATACGATTCCGCGCATGGTTGTTGAAATTATACCAAGACGCTCACGGTCTCGTGATTTAATTTGTGAAAATTTCCGCGCGTCTTTTCCTCGCGCGTTCTGCCGCGTCTCCGGCGGCAATACACGAACACCGCGTCAACGGTACACGTGCGTTATAACGTTGCGCAATCCTGTAATTCGCATCGAATTAAAAACGTCGTTTCCATATTGCGGCGGCGAGACGATATAAAAAAGATTCGCGGTCACTCGAACGCGACTTCACCGCAAGAGAGGGAGGAGGGAGACGGACTTTACGAGACCGTCGTTCTCCCTAACTACGACGGTATTAACGAGCAACTCGAATCGCAGCTCACGTATAGCGACAACCTCGCGCGCCATTATCGCGCCGCCAATCGCCAGTCGTCGGGGACGTAATCTATACGCGTTGCGCGTTTCCCAGAAAACACAAAAGGACGCAGGAAGGAAAAGAGAAGCCCCGCGGGCGTCCTTCGCTCTCCTGGCGCGGGAGAGAAGACGTGCCGCGCGGCTCGCTATCATTTCTAAAATTACGAATCGCCATCCTCTCCGGCCGTTTAATGAAGGCCACCCGCCGTCGACTTCGCCTCGCGATGAGAAACGTCGAACCACTGCGTATCACATTTAAGAGATGCGCAGGACTAAAATTTACGACGATATATGTATAAACAAGAAAAGACACCCAATGTATATCTAATGTATCCACCTCTCCTACATTCTTCAAGATGTTATTTCAATTGAAAAGTTGTCTTAATTCTAATCAATAAAACAGCAGACAAGGCACTGATAATGTCTCATGTATAGAGTATAATTTAATTTTCCAGAAAAATAAAATCGAGGAAAGAATACTAGAATTTTTTCCAGTTTTTTCTGAAAAATACGGAAAATGTTAAAAACACTCTTTCAGAGTGTTCTTAATTTTCCGGAAAAATTTTAAAAAAACTATTTAACAGATACTGACAATAATATACGATTGATACGAGATACGAATTACAAACAATACACGAACGATCGATACGAAGATACGAAACGAACGATTGATATGATTGTGATATTTATGAACGTAACTGCAAACTTTGTCGTACAAAACAATCATACACGGCAATACAATATGTAATAAGCAATAACACATCCTTGTAAGAAAATTCTTTTTCCTACTCTGGCATTAAACTTTTTACACGGTTTATCAATCCTCTTTTTCTTTTCATTTTGGAAAGAAGAGGCCAAAAGGGTAAATATTTTCGTGCAGAAGATTCAGTTTTCTGGAATATAAAAGAAGAACAAACTTAAGATCTGTTCTCCTTGCTTATACTTTTTGCAATCAGTGTCCTTGCTTTCTCTGTTTTCAATACACGAGGTATATCTGTTTGTCTCATTCTCGTTGTTAGCAATCGTTTACGTATCAAAAATATCAATATATACTGATTCAAGATTTATAAAAGGTAATCATTTTTATTTTTTTATACTGCCAGATCGATAAAATTTTTACTTTTTGTCATGATTAGGGTTCTTTGTTCAACAGTTTTATTTACAATTATTTTCAGTATTATGGGGCGTCACGTTACGTGTATAGTTTTTTTTCTGAATTAATTCAACATCTTTGCCATGTGAGAGAGACAGAGAGAGACTTATTCATAAATTCTAAAAAAATTTCTTAAGAGTACTTAAAAGTTAGTTAAAAGTAAAAGAAATTAGTAATTTAAATATAAATAAAATTATTATAAAAAATATATAGTTGGAAAAATATGACAAAGGAGAAAAGTGAAAAAAAAACCCATTTTTTCTCCAAATTTTCCGAGAATTTATTCAGACTAAGAACACTACTCATTTATAATACTGCTATTTACTCGTATAACCTTCCCAGTCACATTACAACGTAAAACACAAAGCAAAATAAAAAAAATTATTGTTTTGCATAAAATATGCAAAGCAATGTTTTTTAACATGATTATTTTATATGTACAATAACAAAGCAAAATAAGCACGTTAAAAAATCTAATTAAACGAGAGAAATCCTGCCCTCGGTCAAAGCGGATCTTAATGCTTAAATATTTCTGTATGATTTACATATATATAATATTATACATATTTGATTTTACAAATTGTGTACGTCGAAATTTTGTTTTGATCTTAAAATAATCGTACGCAGAGAACCAGAAATAACGTCGCTCATTAAATTGACAAGCAATTTATATCTTTCGATGCTAATAAGCATCTTTATAAGAATGTTAATAATCTGATGTTAATGAGTATTTTAAATCTGCAAATAATGTTGAAAAAAAAAATATTGTTTTGCATATTTGACACGGCTGATGCAAAACAACATTTTTTTAAATATATACAGTATCGATTAATGCATCTTTTTCGACGAGATGCTTTAAGACGAGAGAAAATACCGTAGGCAGGCGCCTTAAGTGTCATCGCTAAAATTACTTAGCGCAGCTCGGGACGGCTCCGCTGATTTCGGCCGTCGTCGTTTGGCCACCCACCGACCGACCACGCTTCTCTCGCCCATCGCGAACCATCGTACGAGGAACTTAAGGAATGTCCGGAGCGTTAAACTTAGGCGTTACCGAATCGTGTCCGTGCGCGTCACGGTCACTGGAATTCCGATCCTGTGTGAGAAAATGCCGAAGGTAATCCTGGAAATTGTAGAAATTGCCGACTGCGCGATTCGTCGGTCGATCGACAGAAATCGTAATGATCGCACATTTTTGCTTTTTCTCGATATCAGTGATATTCTATTATTTACGAGATCATCGGCAAGCTTTAAAACGCATCGCGAGGAAGTGTCGCAATTTTTTAAACACCTTTAACCTTCCGTCCGAGTCTTTTTTTTTTTTTTTTT